AAAAGTAGAGCAATAATCGAAATTGAAAAAGAAATGACAAGGGTGCAAGAGACAGATCTCTCTCTCCCTAAACCTAAAAACAAAAGCTTAAAGTAAAATTTCTTGTAAAGTATTTCGTCTCTCTTAAAAACGACCTAAATGATAAGTAGTTATAGTCTCCAATGCTCTCTGGTGTCTAAGGTTCCGGAATTGAGGCTGAGAAAATGATTTGGGCTTCAGAAATGGGCCTTTAACTCGGAGTTGGCTGGCCGCGGTCGGGATGTGAGTGGCCCCGGGGAATGGATGGTTGGCCGCGGTCGGGAAGCCTCTGACCGTGGTGAAATGGCTGTTAGTCGCGGGTGGAAATGCTTGCCGGCTGGTTTACGGGACATCTTGCTCTTCGCGTATCTTTTGATTAAATCGTTGGATTTCCAAGCTGTAAAGTGTGCTGGAAATCTGATACTTCCATCTTTGAGATCTTAAACCCAGACGGTGAGAAGGCCTTCAATCGGGGGTGAACTTCTGACGGTTTGACTCTGAGCTGAAAATCTGGTCTTCTATCCATTTTGTTAAGTTTTTCCCTAAGTTTCCTGAAAAGAGTCATGGAACTACAAATACTAGAAAAACATAATAAAAGTACTTGAAAGCAATAAAAAACATAGAAAAAGTATTTCAAAATGATCCATAAAAGTGGTCATAATACGGTGTTATCACTATGATAGAGTGAAACAAGTCACACTCACTCGTGATAGTTTCCAGTTTATTTTTGACTCTAAAAATGACGTTCAAACGGTGATGAAAGAATATAGCTTTAGACCTTCAACAATTGGCGCATGGTTCTAAACCGGTGGGTCGAAACTCAAGGGTGATCTTTGGATCCTCCAAAAAATGATCTTTGTATCCTCCAAAAATGATTAGATTCAAAAAGAAGGCTCAGGTTAGTTTATCCCCTGCCTAGCAGAGTTTAAACATTAGAATAACAGAAGCAGGCTCTTCGGATACGAGTAATAAGAGTCTTACTTAAAGAAAAAACTTCTTCCTGAGCAAGAAGAAGGAAGGACCACGGGTCTATGAAACAACCCGAAAAAGCGGATGATGCTGATCAGGAAACAGAGCAGTCTGTCGAGCATAAAGCTATTGAGTTTGCTTCAAAATTTTCCAAACAACCTGATGGTTTGATTGTCAACCAGAAACCATCCACTTCTCAATGACAACAATCCGTCAGAAATGTTGATGTTTGAGGAACAACTCGAAAATTTAACCCTTTAAGGAAATGTGTTGTGAACATTTTCTGGATTTTTTATTTCTCCTAGAGACTAAAAACTCTAGTGATCACATGATTAGTTTGCAAAGATCACTGGGTTATGACCACATTCATTTGGTAAATCCAGCGGATCTTAGTGGAGGTTTGGAATTATTTTGGAAGAGCTCTCATAAAGTGGAGATGGTGTTTTCAGATAATGGAAGTATTGATACAAAACTCGAGGTAGGGAAACATATGTATACGGAGACCCAATTAGAGCTCATGTTTTGGACAAGCTCTCGCATATTGGAATATAAACTACAAAGAGATGAAACCTGGTTTTTAGTTGGCAATTTTAATGAAATCATTAACAATTTTGGATAAATTGGAGGTCCTGTTAGACTGAATCTTCTTTCTAACCTTTACAGCCGTTTGTCAGAGATTGCAGATTAAAAGAACTCCCAAGTTCTGGTAATAAAATATCATGGGGAGGGATAAGACAAGTCATTGATTCTAATGGAAGAAAAGAAAAGGTCTGGATCCAATGCCGACTCATCAAGTTTTTAGTAATTCAAAATGGTTTGGATTGTTCCCAAGATCTCACTTAGAGCCTGGAAAGATGGTGTTCAGACCACAAACCCACCTTGATGAAACTGACATGCTCAAATTTTAGACACAATAGAAGATTTTGGTTTGAAAATCGTTGGAGCTCTGCCCTTGGAACTTGAGAGATTATCCGATCAGGCTCGAAAAAGCATAACAGGAGTGGAGGTAGATGAGTATCAGATAGGATTGCAGATGTTTGGAAAAAACGTGCTCTGATACCAATTGTTAGCAACAAATTGCTAATATCGTCCCTTTTCAAAGTTAAGAGAATTTTCTCAAAGAACAAACTAAGACAAACATTTTTCAGTGGATACTTCAGACTGCCTCTTTTTGGTTTTTTCATTACTTAAATAGTAGAATATGGAACTGAAGTTCCTACAACAATGGAAGCATATTACAACATGACACTTTACTTGTAGTGTATAAGTGCTCTTAATTATTTGCGTAAATTGAATTAAAAAATGGTTTAAAGGTCTAGTTTAAACGCATCGGTTCCGATTGCGAGTGCGGGAGTTTGCGGAAGCGGACGATTGCCATTTTGAGCGTTATTAATCGGTTTGCACGATTGGTTAAATTTTTTAAGACGGGTCAGTTTACAAGACATTTTTGACTTGCGAATCAGCGGATGTTTTAGCGTTAAACATAAAATTACCGAAATAAACATCATATATAATTATAAAAAAACATAAATTTGTAATTCAAAATCACTAACTCAAAATAATTAATAATAAAAATATAAATAAATAATAAATAATTATTTTAAAAACTAATAAATTTATAATTCATAATTTATTTCAATTGTTGGGAACATCACTCAAAATTGTGTCTAGTAATGTGGTAAACTTGAAAAAATTTGCTCCAATACGTAGATTTCTGAGCAATTTGTCTTATGCATGATGTAAAATTTCTTCAATTGATCTAATCGATTTTTTGCGCGGCTCCAACTCGAATCAACTCCAAATTACGGATTAATATTTTTCAGAATACATTCTTTTTGGAGTGCACTCAAAAATCTAGGAACTAAAACTTGATAGAAAAAGTGATAAGTTAATTTATATATATATATATATATATATATATAAGAGAAGATTAGTAGGGTTAGGATTTTATAATTGTTTTCAACGATTATCTTCCATTTTTTTTTCTAGCGTGATTTTTATTTTAACCCAACCGTTACCACCCGGTTTGCAACGATTTTTATGATTGGTATAAAACACCATTAACCGATATTAAACGCAAACGCAGCGTTTGCGGGTGATAGTAGGTGAACCAATCAATACCTAGTCAAAATAATTTATCCCAGATTATTTGCTAAATTAATAAATGATAATAAAAAAAAATGAATTGGTCGAATGGTTATTGATACTTCGAGAGTGGTTTTCTTTGCCGGTTTAATGTTTGGTTTGCATGTTGACAAATTGCTGTCTGGTAAGCTGTCTGGTAGTCTCTTCTCATGTTGACCACTTGCTTCTGGTAATAAATCAACTTTCAAAAATCTGTCGTGGCATTTTGTAAAAATATTGATCCAAACTCAAAACAGCTCATCGCCAACATTCTCAGAATCGACAAAGGTGGAGATGGATCATATTTGGGCTTTCCAGAGTGTTTTAGTATATCTAAACGGAAACTTTTATCTTTCATTGGGGAGAATTTAAATAAGCAGTTGAACGATTTGGTTTGCAAAAATGCTTTATCTTTGAGGAAAGAAGATCCTCCTTAAGTCCATTGCAATGACGCTCCCTGTATATGCTTTGTCGTGTTTCCACCTTTCAAAACATCAACCTGTAAAGATTACTAGTGAAATGACTATTCTCTGGTGGAACTCCTGTGAGAAAAAAGCAAGATTCACTAGATTTCATGGAAAGAGATGTGTAGATCTAAAGCAAATGGTGGCCTTAGTTTTCGTGATCTTGGTGATTTTAATCAGGTCCTTCTCACCAAGCACGCTTGGAAGATCATCCACGACCCAGACTCTCTGTTTTCCTGGTTTAATAAAGGCAGATACTTTTCTTCGAAGAGCTTCATTACAAAAATAAGTTCGTGACGATTGTATTGTTACCGTTCACGAATTGTCATAACTATGTCACAACATTTTTATTGCTACGAAATAGTTTTTTTATTGTGACGAAATATTCCGTATTATTGTGATCATTTTCTTGTCGTGATTGTGGAAAAGGTTATAGACCTTCATATGATTGGAGTAGTGTTGTTTAGTATCCACACACGAGGTCAATTTGGTAATTATTATTAGGTGGAGCTCGGAGATTCTTGTTATATAGAGGTGAGATCGATATAATTTTATCGAGGTCTTTTAAGTGAGATGCTAAGCGAGGTAAGAGTTAGTGATCACAAGTATCAAGTCTTTTGTCTTTATTTCAGATTACGGATCCCGTAATAAATGAGGTTACAGGACTATTTATAGTGTTCAAATTATGTTACATCTCGGTCAGAGTAGCTTGGACGGCCGGGTAGGTAGACCTGACCGACCGTCTATCGGAGTATCGTGCTGGCGAGCTGTTTCACCTACATCGACGTGGTGAGCTGTTTCACCTACGTCGACGTGGCGAACTGCTCCTTCGATATATAAGACTCGCCTCTCAAACGACCTCGTTTTGGCTTTGTGAATGGGCTTTTGTCCATCTTCGATCCTGTTGGGCTTATCCAATTTGCTAATGGGCTTGGTCGAAATTACGAAAAAGGGGGCTGTGCTCATCCCACCTACAACAATTGTCCCCCCCAGTCCGTTGATGGAGATGTTACTTCGATATTCAACGCATCGAGTTGGAGGTCTTTGGAATCGAGGTGATACTTGGGAGTCGGGGAATTGCGTGTTATCCTTAACGCTATTAACGAAGAGCCGTAAAAAGCAACGGTCAACTCGGGAAACGAAGAGTCGCGAGTGGAAGCGTGATTCTCGGGAAGCACGTGGAATCCGCATCTAAATAAGATACTGGGCAGCGTCCAGATCATTATTACCTTCCTCGGTAACCGCTATTTCTTTCTTTATATATTCTGCTCTCCTTCTCTTCTTCTCATTTTCTTCTCCGTTTACAAAAGGTAATCTCGCTCTCCCTTCTCTCTAGAATTTTTCTCTCTCTCTCTAGAATTCATTCTTTTGCGGCTTGATTTCTCCGTTTATCGCGGTTTTTCTATTGCTATCCGACATCGAGTGATGACTCTGGGGGGTCAGCGTGTCGAGTCGAGTTTAGAGTCCGGCTCTAGATCCGATCGGGAAGCTTCTGGGAGCACAAGTTCTTCTCCTGAGGTGTCTTCGAGATCCGACACTCAATCAGATAGAGGAGAGTCTCCACTGGTCAAATTGGCGGATCGAGTCCGTTCTGACGGGGCGTCTCTGCGAAGTGAAACTACGGATCTTCAAATAGTTCCTTTTGAGGAAGATCCACGTGATGGCGAGGCTACGGAGCACGCCGAGGAAGAGGTTGATGAAAGAGGCGAGGAAGAAGATGAACAGGGTGAGGAAGTTAGAACTCGAAGAAGAGGTTCCAAGCGAAAAGGAGCTATCACCCGCATTACAAACGGTAGGCTCGATGTCATCGGTATTCCTTCTATAATTTACATCGTCTAACATGTCATTTTGTTTCAGCTAGCTGGAGGAGAGAAAATCTTCTAAGGGAGAGAGCGATTGCATTGGCTCCAATTCAGGTGAACGCACCCAGTCTTGCTGCACGTCTTAAGGCTAAAAGGAGCGAGAAGAAGGATCAACAGGCTTCTGCCTCTCGGTCTGAACATTCGGATCGAATACAGATAGTTCAGAAAGATGCTGAGGTCGTTCCTCAGCATGATGCAAACCTCGAGGGCGAGATCGAGACCCAGGTCGCTGACCACAACCTCGGACTCGACGCTCAAAATCAAGAGGAGAGTCATCAGGAGGAGGAAGCGTCAGACGAAGCGGCGAGGTCGGCGAGGAAGGCAGAGAAGAAGCAGAGGAAGAAGAAGGATAAGAAGAGGAAGGAGAAGAAGGACGAAGCTGAAGCTGTTCGTTTGGTTCAGCAGAAGGAGAAGGAGGAGGTCGCCAAGTCTAAGGCGAGTGGAAAAAGGAAGGAGCCTTCCGCTAGAGAAGAGAGGGACGGAGGTCGGGTTAGTGGCGAGGATGCGACTAAACGAGCGAGGGTTGCTCCGTCCGGCGATGACAGGGTCAAAGAGGTCGACAGGAGCTTCTCGTTTGAGTACCCCGAGTCGAGCAGACCATTCGTCAACAATGCTGACAAGTGTGCGGAGCTCTTCGGGAAAATAAGGGGATCTACTACCGAGGTTCCTGCTGTCTCCGATGTGGCTTTCAAGGAAATGGCGAGCTTCGCCTTCAAGGTATGTTTAGAATTTCTATTCAACGTTCGTGCTCGCAGTGTGAGTTCGATTCAGATAGTTTCATAGTTTTTTTTTTTTTGGTTCAGTTTATTGCGAGCTGCAATCGCACAAGGGGCCAATACATATGCATGCTTCAGAATGCCGCGACTCGACTGAAGAATGCCCAGACTGCAGGTCAGAGGGCGGTGGACGAATGCCGCCATTGCTCAGCGGAGGATTGCCGAAGACAATTGGCAAACCATGAAGAGAAAAGCGGAGCAGCTGGATGCCGGGGTGAAGGAGTTGACCGAGAAGATCGAGACGATGAGGCTGGAAAACGTGGACTTGGTCAAGAACCTTCAATTTGGTTAATGAGGCTAAGATCGAAGCCGAGAGGTCAATTGCTACCGAGGTTGTTCGCGCAAAGCGTCACGCCGAAGAGAAGATCGAGATGGAAACCACTCGAATCTGGGCGGAAGCTGAAGCTAAGTATTCAGGTCGCATCGGCCGGCTGAGGACTCGTATTTCCGAACAAGAGGCGATTGAGCAGGTGAAGCTCGATCTCGTTCAAGCTCGAGGTACTCTGGAGTGCCTCGATCTTTTGAAGGAGCAAGAGATGTCTGATGCGGAATTGAAAGCCGAACTTGAAGCAACGAAACGCGATTACGAGCTGAAGCTGGAGAACCTCAGTCTAACTGATCTCGAGGAGGGTGATTTGCTCCCGCCTTTCCCTGAAACTCCGGATGGTGGTTCGGACCATGACGACGCCGAAGATCGGGAAGATCACGAGGATGGCACTCAGCCTGAAGAGTAGATGTCATCTTCTTCTTTTTTTTATCACTACGCCCTTTGTTTGTACTCGTTTGTAATGGCTCGCCCCTTTTTTCATTAATGGATTTTTTTTTAAGTATTAGCTCGCAAATTTAAATCGTAAAAGGACAATAGATACGAGGTAGAACTATTGAGACGAGGTGAAAATTTGTTTAACAAAACGATTGGGACGAAGTGGAAATTGTAGGAAGTAAATTTAGAGGAGACAAATATTGCAATGAAGAAAACGATTTGAGATACAGGAAAACGTTTTATAAAAGCGGTTTAAGGAAAAACAAGAAGTGGAGGCGAGATGATCTCTTTCCTTAATTCAAAATATCTCCCGCAGTGTGGCGGTTGGATGAGATAATGAATCCTAGGATACAACCACTGATATTCGTATAATCGCAGCACCCGATTATAGAATGTGACGAACTAATATTCTACGATATACTCTCGGGACACTTACTCTTAAAAGACGAAAAGAGACGCGAGGGATTTGAAGGAAAAGTGTGAACGATTTTTCTTTGTAAATTTTCTGTAGAGAGCGATTAAAACTGGAAGAGGAGAAGTCGATATATATAGCGAAGGAGAGAGGAGCGTCGCACTTAATCAGCATGTTAATGACGTGATTAATTTTGCGCTAATGACGCGATTTGGGCGTTAATCTTGGCGTGATTTTCGGGCTAGACATTTGACTGCAGTTTAATGTCGTGATTCTGTTAAGAATTTGAACCGAAAACTTTAGCAATTTGGGCCAGAAATGTTGACCAAAACGTGGCCCAAAAAGAACATCTTTTGTGGGCCGAAGGCCCACATTCACCAAGACCCAAGACCCAAGACCCGAGCCCGAGCCCGAGCCCGGCTCGGCTCGGCGGCGGCGGCGCGCGAGGGATCCTTGGTTCTCTTTCACACACTTTGAACTATGTCATGTGTGTGTCTATATTTATATGACTCTAAATTTTTCCAATCCTTGGATGTGGGACAAAATGAAGTTCCTCACATTTTAAGTTGCCTTGAAGGGCTTTATTTTTATTCACACTTGACCAAATTTTAAAGCCTTTGGGCTTTGTAATAATTTGGGTCCAACAATCCCCCACATGAATAGAAATAACTCTAAACATACGACCGGACTGACTCGAAGACTGGACTCGACTAGACTAGACGGACTTTGACTAGGCTAGACGGACTTTCGAGAGTATATACGAAAAATCCACTTTGTTTGAGATAGTAGTATGTTTCAACCTTGAACCACTCAATGTTAATATCTGTCGGGCTTACTCAGCCAGGAGGTGAACATGATGTCTTGAACCACCCGGATTTTGATGTAAACCGAGACAACAAATACAACTCAGTTTCATTTCCTCGTAGAACTAAGTTCTCTATTGTGTTCATTTTGGCCTTGAACTTGCCTGGTTAATCATGAGTGAAGTTGGAGAATATAGCCTTTTGTTTTTTCATTCTCCTAGAAACGGCCCCATTTCACACTCACTAGGTGATTTGCCAGTAGTCTTTGTTTTAAGAAACGGCCCCATTACTTCACTGATATATCAAAGCTACGGTCTTATCATTAAAAATTTTGGCTTATCCTTTGAAAATATATAATGAAAATTGTATGTAAGCACTGTCAATCATCTTGGGACCTAGGTTAAGACTATACGTCTTTCAGTGCGTTAGATTTTGTTTGATTTAGTTTTCCCTTTTAAACCATACATCTTGGGATCTCCAGTCATGTAGGTGGGGTTTCCATCAAACAACCTCTTTAGTCATAGGCTTTAAACCCATTCCCTTTGACGATTTGAGAACTTGATCACGAGCTAGACCCTTAGTGAATGGATCTGCTAGATTATCAGCTGATTTTATGTAATCTAGTGAGATTACTTCGGTTGTGATCAAGCTTCTAATGGTTTTATGTCGCCTTCTTATGTGTCGAGATTTACCATTATAGAGATTATTCAGTGCTCGGGCGATAGCTGATTGACTATCACAGTGTACACGTATTGCCAGGACTGGTTTCTCCCACATTGGAATATCTTCCAAGAAATTTCGGAGCCATTCGGCCTCCTCTGCAGCTTTGTCTAAAGGTATAAATTCAGACTCCATGGTTGATCGGGCCAGTAGAGTTTGTTTGGAAGACTTCCAAGAGACTGCTGCACCAGCAAGGGTAAAGACATATCCACTTGTGGATTTCGAGTTTTTGGTGTCAGATATCCAGTTTGCATCACTGTATCCTTCCAAAACTGCGGGTTCTTCTCCCATAGTGCAGCCCATAACTTTTAGTGTATCGAATATAATTTAATACTCTAGTTATGGCTTTCCAGTGTTTGTGTCCTGGATTACTTGTATAGCGACTAAGTACATTTACCGCGTGTGCTAGGTCAGGTCTAGTGCTAGGTCAGGTCTAGTACAATTGGTTAAGTACATAAGGCTACCAATTATCCTTGCATACTCGACTTGTGACACTGCTTCACCTGAGTTTTTGGTCAAGTGAAGTTGAGAGTCAACAGGAGTTTTTGCAGTTCCATTTGAATAGGTTTTAAACCGTTCAAGTATCTTTTCAGCATAATGTGCTTGAGATAAAATAATCCCATCAGAAGTTCTTGTGATTTGTACCCCGAGAATGACATCTGCTAGACCCATGTCTTTTATGTCAAACTGTGCACTAAGCATGTTCTTAGTTTATTGGATTATGTCGTTATTGCTGCCAATAATTAACATGTCATCTACATATAAACATAGTAGGATATATCCATTAGGGGTTGTTTTTATGTAAATGCATTTATCACATTTGTTTATGCTGAAGCCATCTGACATCATCGCATTGTCAAACTTTTCATGCCATTGTTTTGGTGCTTGTTTAAGTCCATACAACGACTTCACAAGTCTACAGACTCTGTGTTCTTGTCCCGGGACTACAAATCCTTCGGGTTGTTTCATATAGATTTTCTCGTCTAATTCACCGTTTAGAAAGGCTGTTTTGACGTCCATCTGGTGGATTTCCTAATTTCTTAAGGCTGCAATTCCAATCAGCATTCTGATGGAAGTTATTCTCGTTACTGGAGAATAAGTGTCAAAGAAATCCAGACCTTCTTTTTGTCGGAATCCTTGCACTACAAGTCTAGCCTTATATTTATCAACTGAGCCATCGGTCTTCAATTTCGTTTTGAAGATCCATTTGCACCCTAGAGCTTTAAACCCTTCAGGTAACTCAGTGATTTCATAAGTTTGATTCTGTCTAATGGAATCCATCTCGCTATTGACTGCTTCCTCCCAAAGAGGTGCATCGGGAGTGGACATAGCTTCAGTAAATGTTCTTGGTTCGTTCTCGGTGAGAAAGACTATCAAGAATTCAGGACTGAAGGATTTTTCCTTACGAGCTCTTTTGCTGCGTCTAGGTTCAATCTCTTCGTCTTCTGAAGCAGGAACCCCAGATGTGGTTGCCTCATCTTCTCGAGGACGTTTTAGATTTTGTCTATTCTTGCACGGGAAAATGTGTTCAAAAAATGAAACATTTCTTGATTCCATTATTGTATTCACCTGAATATCTGGTACATCTGATTTGTGAACCAGAAACCGATAAGCACTACTGTTGCGTGCATATCCAATGAAAATACAGTCAACAGTTTTCGGTCCTATGGTGACCTTTTTAGGAGGTGGCACAGCGACCTTTGCTAAGCACCCCCACACTTTCAGGTATTTGTACGAAGGTACTCTACCTGTCCATAGTTCATATGGCGTTTTGCCAGTTACTTTGTGCGGTATTTTGTTGAGGATATAGTTTGTAGTGAGAATTGCTTCCCCCCACAGATTCTGGGGTAGCCCAGATTCCTGCAATATTGCATTCATCATCTCTTTAAGAGTTCGATTTTTGCGTTCCGCAACTCCATTAGATTCTGGTGAGTAGGGAGCGGTGGTCTGATGTATAATGCCTTTTTTCTAGACAGAAAACATTGAATGGACCATCATATTCGCCTCCTCTATCACTCCTAACAATTTTAATAGTTTTACCGAGTTGATTTTCAACTTCGATTTTATATTCTTTGAATTTCTCCAAGACTTCATCTTTACTTCTTAGTAAATAGATGTAACAGTATCTTGTACAATCATCAATGAAAGTTACAAAATACTTTTTACCTCCTCTAGATTGTACTAACTTTAAGTCGCACAAATCTGTGTGTATGAGGCCTAGAGGTTCGGTAGTTCGATCGACATGAGGTGATGGAGTTTTTGTGAGTTTTGCTTGTACGCATGTCTCACATTTATTTTTTCTTATTTTGCATTTGGGGATTAAGTTCGAATTTATTAATCTTTGTATAGATTTATAATTCACATGTCCTAATCGTTCATGCCATAAATCAAAAGACTCAACCAAGTAAGAAGATTCATTCTTATTAATTGAACTGGTAGAAGGTACATCATTTTTGAGGAGAGTCATTACACACATTTTGATTAAATCCTCCTTAACATAACCCTTCCCAATAAAAACCCCATGTTTCCTTAAAATCAGCTGGTTAGATCCAATGCGGACGTCGAATCCGTGCTTGTTGATCATGGTTCCAGAGATCAGGTTTTTCCTCATTTTTGGCACATGCTTCACATTGGTGAGGGTGACTTCTTTGCCTGAAGTCATCTTTAGGACCACATTGCCAATGCCTTCAATCTTGGAGTATGACTCATTTCCTATCAACAAGTGCGCATTGTTCTTGCATTTCTTGTAGGTTGAGAACTGGTCTTTGTCCATGCAGATGTGAGTGGTTGCACCAGTGTCATACCACCACGTTTTTGGGTTTGGCTCAACCATGTTGACTTCTGTGACCATTGCACACAGATCAGCTTGAGTCAAGTTGGCTTGGCCTTTGTTATCCCTCAGCCTGCTTCGACATTCATTGGAGGTGTGTCCCTTCTTGTTGCAATAGGTGCACTTCCCAACAAATTTGGTTTTGGGAGTTTCCTTTTTGAAAGAAGTGGATGATGATGGAGCAAACTTGTTTTGCCTTCCTTTGG